GTGTGGGTTCTCTGATTCGGTTGAAGACTGCCATTCTGACTGAATCTCTTTCCACACTCTGAGGATTCAAAAGGTTTCTCCCCTGTGTGGGTTCTCTGATGCTGTAGAAGAGTGCTACTCTGACTGAATCTCTTTCCACACTCTAAGCATTCAAAAGGCTTCTCCCCTGTGTGGGTTCTCTGATGCAGTTTAAGAGTGCTACTCACACTGAATCTCTTTCTGCACTCAGAGCATTCAAAAGGTTTCTCCCCTGTGTGGGTTCTCTGATGCTGTAGAAGAGCGCCACTCCGACTGAATCTCTTTCCGCACTCTGAGCATTCAAAAGGTTTCTCCCCTGTGTGGGTTCTCTGATGCTGTAGAAGAGTGCTACTCTGACTGAATCTCTTTCCACACTCTAAGCATTCAAAAGGCTTCTCCCCTGTGTGGGTTCTCTGATGCAGTTTAAGAGTGCTACTCACACTGAATCTCTTTCTGCACTCAGAGCATTCAAAAGGTTTCTCCCCTGTGTGGGTTCTCTGATGCTGTAGAAGACTGCCACTCCGACTGAATCTCTTTCCGCACTCTGAGCAATCAAAAGGTTTCTCCCCTGTGTGGGTTCTAAAATGCATCTGAAGATGGCAACTGTGACTGAATCTCTTTCCACAATCTGAGCATTCAAAAGGTTTCTCCCCTGTGTGGGTTCTGTAATGTAGTTGAAGATTCTCACTCTGACTGAATTTCTTTCCACACTCTGAGCATTCAAAAGGTCTCTCCCCTTTGTGGGTTCTAAAATGCCTCTGAAGATGGGAACTGTGCCTAAATCTCTTTCCACACTCTGAGCAATCAAAAGGTTTCTCCCCTGTGTGGGTTCTAAAATGCATCTGAAGATGGCAACTGTAACTGAATCTCTTTCCACACTCTGAGCATTCAAAAGGTTTCTTGGCTCTCTGTATTCTTTGGTGTATAAAGAGCTGTGATCTGTTTCTGAAGTACTTTTCACTTGCCTTTATTATCCTGTGCTTTGTAATACCGACATTATGACGTCTCCCATCTCTGTTCTTAACCACATGACCAACTGTCTTTCTCTCTGGTCTGTCTCGATTCCTGACGTTTTCTTTCAAGTCTACATTTTTAACTTTATCTGGCACATGCTGATGAACGTCCTCATGCGCTTCATTCCTCTGATCAACCTCTGCTGGAATAAAGACAGAGATCCTGTTAGCACATGAGGCCCTTGGCCTTGGCCACCTTGGCTGACCTTAACCACTCCTCCACCTTTCCCCCAGAATATCTAGCATTTAAGAATTCCTCACCCCCTCAAGTGCCACAGCTGAGCTCTTGCCCAGAAGGAGCTTCTGAGCCTCCAGATTTCAGGCCCTCCCTCCTTCCCCAGTGTGTTGTATGATTGTACGAAACACTGCTCAGAAGTGAACCAGAAATCCCCCATGGCACTTCCTTGCCTTTTCCCTTGACATAACTGTGAAGGATACTCACTCTCAGCTCGCTCGTTTGGGAAGGAAATATGTTCTTGGGATCCTCTTGAGGAAATTGTCAGCCATTCTTCAAATGAAAGGCTGTTGTCTATCTCCACCGTAGTCTCTCTTATACTCCTGCCTTCATCCACAGAGGAAAAGAGAGAAAGAGAGAGAAAGTGATCATTCTTATATGGGGAAGGAAAGGAATTCAAGAATAAAAACTCTTCTGGAAGGATGAGACCGTCGTCAACATCAAAGCCCACAATCCCAACCAGTATAAGGGGAATAGATCTGTGAGGGAAAGCATCCTAGTTTCCCCAAGTGTTTACGTGACTCTTAAATGGCCTACTTTGAGTTACAGGCGTTTGTGACGGGAGTCTTCCTGCAGCTAACATCCTTAACTTTTATGTCCAGAAGGTGGGTTAGGGCTGAGTCATTGTCTTGTAGGAGTTCCCCAGGCTATGAACAAGCTCCTCCATTAGCATGTTTATAGCCTGGGGAACTCCTACAAAACAATGACTCAGCCCTAACCCACCTTCTGGAGTAGACATAAATTAACTGCCTACCATTTTCTTCTCACCTTGATACAGAGAGTATTCCACCTTTCTGTGTTTATACCTCTGAGGATGCCAGTCACAGCTACTGGCGAAACGTCAGGTTCTACAATGCCAAGACAGCCCGGAAAATCTATGGCAACTACTGCATAAATTAGTTTCTTTTGGAGCCCTCCTTCCTGAGCTAAGACAAGAATGTGAGAGCC